CCCCAAAACCCCAAAACCCCAAAACCCCATTTTAAATTTAGTTTATTGAAAAATATATAAATGGGCTGCTGTGGATCAATCAAACACGTTAATCGGCCAAGATTACAGAAATCGAAAATGATAAGAACAGGTAGTTTTAAACAAATCAGAGAGAAATATACCATTCATCCTAGATTTTTAGGCACTGGGACCTATGGAAAGGTCTTTTTAGGTTCTACTGGTGCTTCGAAGGTTGCAATTAAAACACTTTCTAAGAAGAATTTAACTGAGCTAGAGATTACTGCCATAAAAGATGAGATCAGAATCCTACAGTCTCTAGATCACCCAAATATTATAAGATACCATGAGACTTATGAAAATGAAAAGTTTTTTTACCTTGTAATGGAATACTGAGAGGGAGGAGAGTTGTTCGAAAAATTAACTTCTAAGGAAAGCAAATTTACCGAGCAAGATGCTGCAAAGATAATGAAATAAGTTGTTCCATGCTATTAGCCACTGCCATTCACATGGGATTACTCATAGGGATTTGAAGCCAGAAAATGTTATGTTTAATAAAAAGTCAGATGGCAACACTGAAGTCAAGATCATAGATTTTGGAATTTCACAACAGAACAAAGGGGAAAAGATGAATGTTGTCTGTGGTACTCCTTATTATGTCGCTCCTGAAGTATTAGATAACTCAGGGTACGGAAACCAGTGAGACATCTGGTCTCTAGGAGTCATTATGTACATCCTACTCTCAGGATACCTACCATTTTATGGCAGTAACTTAGCAGAGATTTATGAGAAAATTGTTGAAAATGAGCCTAATTTTAGCAAAGAATGTTGGAAAACCATCTCTGAAGAAGCCATTGGTCTAATAAAGAAGTGATTACACAAGGAACCCGAAAAGAGAATTTCGGCTGTTCAAGCCCTAAAATCCAAATGGTTCTCTAAAATTGAAGGAAAAGAGACTAACCAGTTATCGAATGAGGTATTTGAATCCTTAAAAACCTACGAAGCTAATTCTATCCTCAAGAAGGAAGCCATGAATGTCTTGATAAACATGCTCAAAGATGATGAAATAGAGGATTTGAGGGAAGAATTTCGAAAAATGGACAAAGACTATACAGGAACTATATCCGCTCAAGAACTTGAAGACTCTATCAGAAGAATGGGGAAGGATATTACTGCTAATGAGATAAAAGAAATTATTGCTAAAGTAGATTATCTTGGAAACGGCAAAATAAATTATAGTGAGTTCTTATCAGCAACCATTTCAGCTCAGAATGTTCTCACCAGTGAAATGCTGTATGCCCTCTTTAAGCACTTTGATACTGACTCTAGTGGAGCTATCTCACGAGATAATATTCAGGAAGCAATTGAGAAATCTGGACGAATAATATCCTCATCAGAAATCGATCTTGTTCTAAAAGAACATGATATAGAAAAGACTGGTAAAATTAGCTTTGATGAATTTAAGGTAATGATGGGTATGCTAAAAGTAGAAGAGATCCAGAAAACATTAGCTTAATAACACCTATCCTATCCTATTCTATACTATCAATCCTTCATTCCTGTTCAATAAATCAGAATTAGGAAGGGGTTTTGGGGTTTTGGGGTTTTGGGG